TTCTAGCTTGCTATTTCTAAAATTATAAATACTCCTCGCTGCAAGGTTAAGATAGCCTCATCCTGGGCCGGCCCGGTGGCGCACTCGGTAGAGTGTGGCACTTGGGAGCGTAGCGGCGCTCCCGCTGAGGGTTCGGATCCCATATACAGACAGGTCCACTCACTGGTTGAGCACGGTGCGGGCGCAACACCGAGGGTTGCGATCCCGTTGCCGGTCGCGGTACGGGCACGACACTGAGGGTTGAGATCCCGTTACCGGTCATGAAAAAAGACAAAAAAAAAAAAGATAGCCTCATCCTAATTCCTGAAGGCTTGGGATAAAATGCCTTTCCCCTATAACACTTTTCTTTAACTCAATATTTGCCAAACTGAAACAAAAGATAGTGTTAAATGGGTGAAATATACACATATTCCATCCACTTATTACCTTTTATATGTGTGTATGTGTGTGTGTGTATACACACATACACACATATATATACATATTTTTATATATATCTCACATACATTAGCTTGTCCCAAAGTTGACATTTAAATTGAAAAACCTGAAGGAAAATGTATTACCTATGATTTCATACATGTGTATATAAATATATATACACACATATATACACATCTTTATCTTAATGTCTATTCATGTATATCTTCTATTTATAGCAAGTGAAGTTGATTTTTATAGCAGTGATACAGTTTTCTTTCTCATTAAATTTATTCATCCAAAAGAAATGAGGTTTGTTGTGGGGGTTTTTTGGCAACTGGCTGGTACAAGGATCTAAACCCTTGACCTTGGTGTTATCAGCACCACACTCTAACCAACTGAGCTAACCAGCTAGCCCAGAAGTGAGTTTATTGAGAGATATTAACTAAAATGGTACCAGCTGCACTTGAATACAACCAAAATCATGGCAGAGGACTGTGAATAACCAGGTTTCGCTTACACAATGTGGCCTTGGGAGCTTCTGCATCAGAACCACCTGGGGTTCTTGCTAAATATGCAGATTCTCGGCCACCTGAGATCTACTTAATCAGGTGCTAAGAGTGTGACCCAGGAATCCTCGAGGGATTCCTTTGCACAATGAAGACTGAGCACCACTTAGACAACCACGTGGACAATGTTCACAAGCCACTCTTTAACAGTATTCTTTGCAGGAATGTGGTTGTTTGTGCATTCTGTGTCTGGCCCGCACACTACCATTTGCTCTGGACTATGAAGCAGTGAAGAGAAGCCAAACGGTTTACCTGGCCCCAAGTCGGATCCACGGTGATGCCAACTGCATGAGGCCAGGTGTGTCACATCAATTAGGTTCACAAGTCGCCAAGTGCAAAAGATGTTTCTAAAAACCTCAGACCCAACACTGG